AAAAAAAAGAAAAAAATGAAGAAAGAAGAAGAAGAAGACGGAAGAAGAAAGCATAAGAAAAAGAAGGAAGAAGGAAGAAAATAAAACAATAAAGAAAGAAGATGCGGAAGAAGAATGCAGGAGAAGGAAGAAGAAAAAGAATGAAGAAGGAGAAAAAGAAAGAAAAACGGAAGAAAGAAGAAAGGGAGAAGAAGAATTGGATAAGGGCACAATTGACATTTCATTTACAAAAAGTTTCCAAAAAAGGAAACGAGAAGTTTTTTTGTGGACGGACCAAAAAGGAAAGTGGGAAGTTCTTTTTTGGACGGAGGGAGTATTATTTGTATCGGTATAAAGTAACTTTATTTGTTTGAACATTTAAAGTAGTTTTGTTTAAATGACAAAAATATATATTGAAATTAAATATTTTTAAGGTTTTAGGTTTTAGATTTTATATATATTGAAATTAAATATTTTTAATGTTTGTATATTTTATATATACAACGGTGGGGTTCCCATGACATTGGATCCCCATGTCATGGAATGACCCAGGAGTGTTCTGGTGCCCCATTCGTAAAATTAACGGTTCCGACCCTCCCTAACCTTTCTGGTAAACACCCCCCACCACACCCCGACTTGAACACACCCCCACCTCCTTCAATTTCACCCCACAAATTGATTTTGATTTTGGAGTCAAAAGGGCGTGGGGGTATGTTCGGGTCGGGCTGAGGTGGGGGGTTTACCAAGGGGCTAGAGGGAATAGAAATCATTAATTTTACGAATGAGGCACCAGAGCGCCCCCGAATCATCCCATGATATTGCCGGGCAATGTCACGGGAACCGTCCACATTACGGTGGGGTTTCCATGACATTGGATTCCCATGTCATGGGATGACCCGGAGGCGTTGTAGTGTCCCGTTCGTAAAATTGACGGTTTCGACCCTCCCTAACCCTCCTGGTAAACACCCCCCACCACGCCCCGACCCGAACACACCCCCACCCCCTTCAATTTCACCCCACAAGTTGATGTCAGTATTTTTGTGTTATCCTCTAAACCAATATCAGAACACGTCACTAGACATAATGTTGATGTCAAATTATACTTTTAGCCTTTAAATTAATACCAACTTGGCAAAATATCAAAAAAAGACTATTTGTGGAAAGGCACCCTTATGTATATATATGTATATATATGTATATATATGTATATATACACACACACATATGTATATATATGTGTGTGTGTATATATATGTGTGTGTGTGTGTGTGTGAGACTAAAATATTGAAAATATACCAAAATAGGACTAAAACATTAAAAATATGCCAAAATATGAAAATGGTGTAGAATTAAAAAAAATAAATTACTCATTTAAAAACTACATTAAAAGATCTACACAACTAGTAATGACATGACTATATTATTTTATCAAATTACTAACAAAAATAGAGAAAGAAAATGAATGAAGTTAGACTCCGTGAATAGTAAACAAAATACTCCCTCCGTTCCAGAGTATTTGTCCACTTTCATTTTGGCACACCATCCAATGCACTTCTTTAATCCGTTTTATCTTGTAATTTGTATATTAAAAAATTATAGAAATTATATATTAATAATCTATATGTTAAGACAAATCAAGCAAGATCACACATGACTATATTTAGGCTTACACATTGAGAGAATTTGATGAGTCAAAGTGCTAAGATGAACAATTCCAAAAGTCAAAAGTGGACGAATATAGCAGGACGAAGGTAGTATTTAACTCGAGAAAGATGGAATACAAATTTAGAGCAATGCTAGGGGTACACCATTTGGGGTACCCCAAATGTACACCACCCTCTTTTCCTCCACAATTTTTATTTGATTTTTATTTACTTATTTTTTTTGAATTTTTTTTTCTTTTTTAGTGGACAAGGAGGGGGTGGGGGACATTTGGGGTACACCTTTGGTGTACCCCTAGCATTTTTTAAAAATTTAATACTCCCTCCGTCCCCCAGTTTTTGTCCACTTTTGACTTTTGAAACTGTTAATCTAAGCACTTTGACTCATTAAATTCTCTCAATGTGTAAACCTAAATATAGTCATGTGTGATCTTGTTTGATTTGTCTTAACATATAGATTATTAATATATAATTTCTATAATTTTTTAATATACAAATTACAAGATAAAATGGATTAAAGAAGTGCATTGGATGGTGTGTAAAAATGAAAGTGGACAAATACTCTGGGACGGAGGGAGTAGCAGTTTATTCATTTTGAAATATAATTCTAAAATATTAAGGAGTATATTTTTATAAGGAGTTGAGCGGTTCTAATGACATTGGTTAGCAAACTCAGCTTCAGCTTTCCGTCGTCTTCAACCAATCTTCAATCCGTATCTGGGGCTGCGCCGCCCACCGTTGCTCCATCAATGGGTTCAATGTTCGGTGACTGGCCGTCTTTTGACCCTCACAACTTCACACAGCTCCGGCCTTCCGATCCATCTGCCCCCTCCGTGAGCTCCGCCAAATTTTAACTCTTTAACGTTTTCATCTGTCGTTTTCTTCTTTGGATTCTGAACTTATTGATCCGTTTTGTGTGTACTGTACTCCCCTCCGTCCTGAAATGAAGTTTAACTTCATGGAGTTTAAAACCTTTGAAAAGATAAATTTGTGTTGGAGATAGATGAGATAAGGAAATGTGAACTTTATTTTGGTACAATCAAAATAGGAAAGTGTAAAATTCATTTTTTTTTGGGACGGAGGGAGTAATTCTTTTCTCAGTTTTCTGATTAGTATGCACGGAGTAGATTCTAATGCTTTTCTCTGCTCTAAATTTGTTCTTATTACTCTTGAAAAGCTGGAAATCTATACCGAAGTGTACTTGCTATTTCAGTAATGGAGTGTGGTGTGAAGAGTTAGATTTTATTTTTGAGTATGAAGAGTTTGCTGCAAACACAGTTTTACGCACTGGTCAAGTGGTTAGAATTGAAAGTTCATTGGCACCTAGTTAGGCAGTGAACTCGGTGTTAGTGCTTGTTTGGCAACCACTTTAGCGTTTTGAAAAGGTTATATAATGACAGTGTTTAGCTTTACGTTTTCAAAGTTAATCTTCACCATTAAATTATCTAAAATGTTAATGTTTATTGAAAATGTTGTTCCCAAACAAAGCCTTAATTAAAACATTACACTATTCTAAAAAGTCCCTGCTTAGACGTGAGGACAGGGCCTAAAATTTATTTAGGCCTAAGACAACCCAGGCCCTGAGAAATCCAGCACATCTAGGCGTTAGACTAGGCTAGGCTTTGGTCTAGCGCCTTGGGGATGCCCAACACTTTATGATCGTGCACATGTGAAGTATATGCCAGTAAAATGAATGAACAATAAAATGCAAGTTTTTATAACTAGCAGGAGAGTGCAGATAACACTTCATCCCAAAATGTATCAGGTTTTAGTGCCTAGTTTTTTTTTTGTTACATGAAGTTGATTGCAATTGTAAGAACAAGTACGCCACCCTTTTTCCCGTGTCTTTTATCTTGAGATTAACTGGTAGAATGTTTGATTGTCCATTCCACTTATCACTATAAAGCTTTGTTTTTGTTTGTGTTTAGAGAATAACACCAGCAACTTACTGTCCTACTCATGATCGGACACTACCATCACCGGATCAAGGTAATGTTAAGTGTTATGGCTTTATTAATCTGTAGCCATATCTCTCCCCTCTTACATTTCATGATGTTTAGTTTCAGTAAACTGTTATAGTTTTCAAGATCGCACTTCTCATATTTATAACGAACAAAGTCTCTAAGGAAGGGCTATGTATTTTGTTATTCAGTTAAAAAATTCTTGGAACCCACCACGGGTGCCCCCACGGATAACAATCACAGATGATTTATACATACACGGACGATAAATGTTTGTGAACACAGATGATTATGGTTTGTGTATGTATAAATCATCCGTGATTGGTATCCGTGGGGGCACCCATGGTGGGTTCCTAGCATGGTCCTATTCAGTTTCTCTTCCCTCTTCCTCTTTGTGGGCTCCTATATCCATCTTTATTAGGTTTTATAATTTTCTAGGAAAGAAAATGACCACAGCCCATATAATCATACTTCTTCCTCCATAGTTCAACCTATGTGCGTAATTGGGTTTCATATTCTTTTTAGTTTTGAGGGGGAACACCCAAAAGACCACTCAACAGATTACTCTCATATTCTATTTAATTAAGTTATAAATGATTTAGTTATCATTCCATCTTTGGGTTAATGCAGCTATCTTAATAAAGGGTAGTCGGTAGTCTGCTGCACAAAGCATCCCCGCTGAGCAAAATCTATCACTAATGCAAACATAAATTGAGGGAAGGATATTTGGTTAGACTTGAATGGTCAATAATTACTACAAAAACATAAATATTTTGGCAATTAAATATGTGCTTGTTCTTTTCAACTTATATTCCAGATATCCAGACTCCAGTTACTGGACTCCAGACTGTAGTAATTTAGTTATCAGAACTTAAGCATCCATATTTTTGTTAACATTACTACTGCATTCAGACTCTAGACTCAAGTTGTTACCAGACTCCATTAAAAATTAAGGCAAAAGAACAATGCCCTATATAACCAACATACAATAAGTAATTCTTGATCTTGGGTGTTTTAACTACTTTCCACCTTGCCTTGTCCATCAAGCTTTCTCTCCTTGTAATTAATAGTCTTGTTGCAAAAGGCTTGTATCACACAAGTTTACTTTTTTGTGGAGATGTCATTATTCTTCACACTCCATGTATATGTATACTATTTTCTTTTCTAACAGTCTTGTAATACTGTTTTATTAGTGATTTATTCTTTTTAGCACTCCCGACCGTTGAGTCAACCTAAACCCTGACCTGACACACTAGGTCACGATTAAACATCTCCCAACCCAAAATTGAATGTATTGACCCCGACATGACCGACCTTTTTGACAATTCTATTTGAGTTTTAAGACTTTTATGATTGTAGAGTAGCTTCTAAAGTCTGATGGAGTGGCTTCAAATTTGCAGTTATTTGTTCAGAACCCAAAAACATATTTATAAGACACTTATACCAACATGGCGCCGAGAAGGTTAGTAGCTATTATGCCTGAGTTGGGCTAGTTTTGTTGTTGTTGTTGTTGTTGTTGTTGTTGTTGTTGTAATATAATGGATGTTTATATTGTGTATTATTCCATTCCATTTTGATCCCACTGTTATGTTCTGTTTTAGATGAGACCGAAGAGGGCTGCTTCTGAAAATCTTGCACCAGAGCATGGATCTAAGGTTCCCAAGTCTTCCCATTCAGACATATCTTTCTAAACCTGATGCTTTCGTTTTTTTTGTAATTAAAAACATGTATTTGTATATATTTTTGCCGATACATAGGCGTACTTTCGTGCGTGTTCATTGTTGTAAAACAAAACACTGAGCTTATAAAAAAGGTTTGTTTTTTTATGTTTTGTTTTGTTTTGAAAATGGGTGGTATTTTATTTGAAATTACATTAGAGTATTAGTCTACTCCCAATTGGGGTTGAGGGATGGTAAAAACTAAGAGCATTTCCATGGTGTAGTGTATATGGTAAAATATACACTATATACAATTTAATGTTACCTTTTCAACACTCCAATGGATAGGGTAAACCAAGTGTTAAAATGAAATGTAGTGTAAAAGCAATTTCTAAAGTGTATTTTTACAAGTTCTCTATAGATAGTGGAAAGAATAAAAACTTATTTTTTTCACTTTTTTCCTTCCCTCTTCTCCATTTTCTTGTATCTAAAGCTCCTCACCTGGTCTTCATCTAATTTGCACTGTTGGGGTTTTCATCTTATTTGCATTGCCAGTAGATATATTTTCTATAAAGATAGATTTTGGGTTGAAGATAGATTTGAGAGAAGGATTTATCTCCATTCATATTTGCTCTCTTTTGCTCTTCTAATTTGTTTAGTTTTTTTCCAGCAGTAGCAGAAGAAATTGATTTGATTTAATTATATACAAAATAAATGTCATTATATATATATATATATGGAGTATTTATTACATCTTTTTTTAAAAAATTATTAAAAATAAGTAATTTAAAACAATAAATTATTATAAAAAGTATATTATATAGAAGATATGGTTAGAGTAAGTATAAAAAATAGAAATGTAAAACACTATTGATAGTGTAAAATGAAACTTACACTACCAAATTTTATACTACGCCTTGAAGATGCTCTAAAAAGTTTTAAACTCCTTTGCTTTCATTCTTTCTTCTCCTTTCTTGCTTTGCTCTTTCTTTCTTCTTGTTTTTTTTGGTGGCTTCATTTTCTTTTCTTTTTTTGAAAAAATTACCTTAAATAATCTCATCTTTTCACGCTTTACCAAAAATAATCTTACTTTTCACTGTTACAAGAAATAATCTCACCTTTATGCATGTGTGCGAGTTTTAGGTCGCCGTTAAAAAATATAATAGTAGATTATCGTTCGAGATAATACAAAAAAGTTGTTAAAATAATTTAGAGTACGTACCGTTCGAGAAAGAAATTGTACTCAGCTTCCTCCGTCCGGAAATATTCTTCCCGTGTTGACTTGGCACGCTTATTAAGGAATAGTAAAAAAATGCAAAATTTTCAAAAATGCACATACTATAAACTTTTAAATCTCCTTTTATTATTAAAAAAGTACTAAAAAAGTAGATTTGTGATAAAATAGAAGGGTATTATTGATATTTATCCTTAAAAAGTGTACTTAAAAAGGAAAAGGGAAGAATATTTTCGGACGGACCAAAAAGGAAAGTGGGAAGAATATTTCCGGACGGAGGGAGTAATACAAAAAAGTTGTAGTGAATAATAAAAATAATCCGTGCCATTTTGGAAAAAAATTATTATGCCATTTTCACAACTTTTGAATTGTTATTTTGCGGAAAACATTTGTAATGAATTATAAAAAATCATAATTTTTGTAGTGCCATTTTGGAAAAAATAATACGAGAAATAGATGATTATCAATAAACATTTTGGAATGTTGTTAATGAAAAAAATTGTAATCCAAAAAATTGTAGTGAGTTATAAAAATAATGGTTTCATTCCGAAGAAAAAATTATTAGGTCATTTTCACAGTTGTTGTAATGTTATTTTGCAAAAAACATTTATAGTGATTCACCGAAAAATTTTCAAAAGTTTTGTAGCATCATTTTTTAAAAATTATAATAGTATATTATCAAAAAACAATCCGATGTGCCGATCAAGAAAACAATAGCAACTTACCACAAAAGCAATGAGTTCTGGAGTAAATACATTAGTTCCATTTTGTAGAATAATTTATTGTGCAATTTCACAACTTTCGTAATGTTATTTTGGAGAAAAAAATTTATTACCTGATTCTCTTTTTTGTTTTTTAATTTTAAAATTATTTTTTTAAAATTTTCTTTTGAAATTTTATTGTCAATTTTTTAAAATATGTATTTTTTAAATATTTAATGTTTTCAGTTTAATTGATTTAAATTAAATTAAGTGTGAAAAATAATACTGAAAAATGGAAAGAAAAAGGGAAGGGAAGGGGAATCACATCAATTAAAGGGGGAAGGGAACGAAACAAAAAAATTGACTTGACGTTTAGTTAATCGAAGCAAAAGAAGGAAAGGAGGAAACCATGTCCCATGGCCAAATAAAGTGAAGGAAAAGAAGAGAGAGAATCAAATTGGGAGAGAGGGATTACGATTTTGGAATCGCTTTGACAAATGAGGCGACACACATCTCGCTTTGACAAATGAGGCGACACACATCTTTAATGGCCTAGGCAACCAATGGGAAGTTGCCACTGTTGAAAGGGCAAATAATTATGTATTGCATATTATGGAGTAGTATAATGGAATATAATTTTGAAAATTTACAAGAAAAATTTAATAAAAAATTTGTATATAATTATATTATAGTTTATATTTAATTTAAGCTCAAAATTCATTTAGTTTAGCTTATAAAAATCAAATCCAGTAATACATTAGGACGAAGGGATTACTCTTCTACTCCCACCCCCAGTTTTGTCTCCTGACCACTAAAAAACACATTCCAAGTATTCAGTCTTGGTCATACTCAGCTTAAATCCTTTAGATGCTAGTGAAATGTGCCAAAGTTCCAACTTGTCGTTTAGTCACTCGGGTGTGCCATCGATATCATCGGCAAAAAAACATGCATCACGAGACCTCCCCTTGAACTCCCTGTATCAAGATATCCATCACCAGGGCGAAGACCCTTGGTGTAACCCACCTCTATAGGGAAAGGCTTAGAGTCACCCCCAACAGTCTTTACCCTAGTCCTTATCTCGTTGGACATATCTCTGATTGACTGAAAGTAAGCAACCAGAACACCTCTCAACTCAAAGCTGCTCCGCAAGACCTCCCACGACACCTTGTCGTACACCTTCCCGAGGTCAATAAACATCATATGAAGATCCTTATTGAGCCTATAAGAACTCTCATATATATTTCAATATAGAGAGATCCACACAGATATGTTGTCACTACATCCATCAAATGCATTTGGAGCTTTTCAAATATAGACATGCCTATAAAAATATCTCAATTTAATTACATGAACTACTAAGTGAATAGTTTCCTCATAATCTCTCCAAAATTTGATAAAAAAGCTTGGGCGACAAGTTGGGCTTATATCTTACAATATCATTTTTCTCATTGCGCTTGCGTACAAAATCCCATTTGAAACCAACTGGTTTCACGCTTTTTGGCGTGGGAATTATAGGCATAAAACACTTCATTTTTTATGTGATTTCAACTCTACCTCAATTGCTTCGTTCTATTTTGCGCAAACATGTCTACATCGACATTCATCAATTGATGTTAGCTCAATGTCATCATTTTCATCCATTATGTTTGTGGCGACGTTATATGCGAATATCTCATTTACATGAACATCTTTTTTATTCCATTTTAATCTCGTAGAAACATAACTTATTGAGATCTCAAATTATTGATGTTTCTATCTTCATCAAAATTATTCACATCTTCAGAAATTGTTAAATCCTATTTTGAAGCAATTTTTCGTTGATACTATTTTCTGTATCAACGTGTTCATTTTCTTTTCCTGAAGAATGAACATCTTTAGCTTTAAAGATCACCTCTTACCTTTTAAATTTTCTTGGTTTTACATCTTTTAAACCAAGTGGTCTGCCATGCTTTCGGCGTATTGAAGACTCATTTGCAAGAGTTCTTTCATTTTTCTCTGTAGGGATTTTGATTCCGACAGGAGCATTTGTAGAAGACATATGTGACTTTGTCACTTTCTTTGATGTGTCAAGCAATTGATTTGCAACATTTTATAAATGAATTATCTTTTGAACTTCTTATTCACATACAATTGTTCTTGAATACAAATGATAATCTTGTTACATTCCATGTAATTTCTTCCATACATGAGTTCTTTTTCTGATTTTCTCCCCTCAAGGTTGAGGATACTGACTCATTAAAATGACACTCAGCGAACGGTACAGTGAATAAATCATCAGTCATAGGTTCAAGATATTTCATAATTGTAGGAGAATCAAAACTAACATAAATTTACAACCTTCTTTGAGGATCCATTTTTGGCTCTTTTCCAGTTATTAATTGTAATGAGGAAAAAATATGACTGCAGTAGATTTTAACCAAATTAAATTTGCAGCATGCAATACAACATGTTGATGCAAATAGAGTCATCAAAATATTTCAAAATGGAAGGGGTAACAAAGCATTAATATGAAAGGAATTCATAAAAAAATTTCATCCATGGCATAGGGAAGGAACAACTTTTCTTTCAAAAATATACCATAAATAGCATGAGAAATGGATGAATATTTAATTTATTTCCTTTCATTTATGTCAAGTCAAATAATTAATGATGAAGGAAATTAAAGAAGGATAATTTGGCTTCTTTATTCAAAAGATTGCTCATTAAAGATGGTAGATTAAGATGAAATCTTTCTATATATAAAGATTTAATTTCATGAATACTTTTCATATGTAGAGAAGACTACCAAGCATCATGTGTGACTTATCAAAATTATTCTTGTGACGTCTTTCTTTTCATATCAAGAGTGTTGTCGCAAGATTTTCTCTTATCAACTCCCTTGTGGCGAAAAGCGTTTCTTATCACCTTCTATAAGGTGTGACGAAGTAATCCTTATCACCTTCTTCGGAGTGTGACAAATAAGGGAGGGTGTGCAGCGGTCCAAACCAGACCGGATCAGAACCAGAATCATAAATGTTTTAAGACCGAAGATCGGTCCAGACCTGAATTTTCTCGTTCGGTTTGGATTTACCTATTATGGACCTAATTTTGAATATGAGTATAAAATGGATATCTAAATTGTATATGTATCAACAAGGCAATATCAATATACTGATATACCCCATATACGAATAATTCTCATATATGAATAATTCCCAACAACACCAAATTGAAA